ATACGACTTGGTGATAAAGCTGCAAGTTTATTGGAACAGTAGTAAAAAATTAAACAATAACATGGATAATTCAATAAGAATTATAATTTTAACAACATTTGGATTAAAACCATATTAATTGAGCGAATAATAATAATAATAATAATAGGTGAAAGAGGAGGAAGAGGATGAGGAGAAGAAGAAGGAGGAGACGCTCAAAATGTAACAAAAGAATTAAATCAAAGAATTCGTGTAACGGGCAAACTGTAATTTTTCATTTATAATTGCTGTAAACAATATGCGTGTACACAGGTATGTACATACATGTACACGTATTCATACGTAATTATCTATTATTATTAATAATAATAATGATAATAATAATTATATCGCAAATCTCAAAAATGTGGCACATGAGGACATCAATAATTCCAGTTGTAGTTGGAGCACTCGGATTGATTGGAAAACGATCCGATAGACTCATTAGAAGTGATCCCTGCTAGCCCGTGCTTTAAAGAAATACAAAAAATTGTACTCACAAGTGCAGCACACACAGTATGAAGAGCTTTATCTAAAATCTAAAATGTGTGTGATCTTAAGTTTTTGTTTTACAAAAAGGATCAGTGGAAAATGTTATGAAACTAGTTCTGACCTTAGGTCTCTGGTTGGGACTCGGAAGGAAATGTTTGTGCAACAGAAATCAAAGGAAATAATAATAATAATAATAATAATAATAATAATAATAGTAATAATAATAATACTTAAAAAAAGTGCAAAGACAAATACAACCGACCAGACAGAGAAACAATGGCAAGATAAACCGCTTTATGGCCAATACTCTGCCGGTACCAAATAAGCTGACGTACACAAAACCCGTACCCATTAGTGGCTACGTAGTGCAGGATTGAAAGCGTAAACTGAAGGTTTTATCCTTGCTGCACAGGACCGATGCTTGTTAACTAGAAATTATCAAGCACATATACTAAAATATTGTGTTAGCCCAAAATGCAGATTCTGTGATAAATATAAAGAACAATTGATCATCTTGTATCAGGTTGCACGATATTGGCACCCACTGAATATAAAACCCGGCATGACAGAGTAGGCCAATATCTGCACTGGAAAATCTGCAAATTCTACGGGAAGGAAACTGAAAGAAAATGGTAGGAACACCACCCAGACCCGGTTACGGCGATAGGACCTGTTACAATTCTATGGGACTACACAATACACACTGACAGAATAATCAAAGCCAACCGCCCAGACATTGTTATTAGCGACCACAAACAAAAAAGTGCCTCCTTATTGATATGGCAGCCCCTGCAGACTGCAATGTATCTTTGAAGATATTCAAAAAGCTGTCAAAATACAAGGACCTTGAAATAGAAATCTCCAAATTGTGGCACATGGGAACATCAACAATCCCTGTTGTAGTTGGAGCCCTAGGACTGGTTGTAAAAGATTCCAGTAGACTAATTGAAGGGATTCCTGGAAGTCCACACCTCAAGGAGATACAAGAAATTTTTCTGACAAGTACAGCCCACACTTTACGAGGGGCTTTATCTATGTATTTTTTTTTTGTCAGTGTAAAGTGTCATGATGCCATTTCTAACCCTAGGTCCCTAGGCGGGACCCGGAAAGAAATGTGTAAACGCCAGAAATCAAAGAAAATAAAAATAATAATAATAATATCTCAGATATAAAAAATGTGGCATATGAGGACATCCATAATTCCAGTTGGCGTTTACGAAATACTTGAAAGACTTTGGGGTTCTGAACCCAAAATATATTGGTGAATATTCGGTGGAATATTACGACTTTGTAAAATAAGACTAACCATTCACAGATATTGTGAAAAAGAAGGAAATTTACAACAATTACCTCTGTGTTTGTTGAAAGAGTGAGTGAGTGAGTGAGTGAGTGAGTGAGAGAGAGAGAGAGAGAGAGAGAGAGAGAGAGAGAGAGAGATTGAGAGAGAGAGAGAGTGAGCGAGAATGAGTAAGAGGGAGTATGATATAGAAATAGAGAGTGTTAGAGTGCGAGAGAAAGAGAGAGAGAGAGTGAGAGAGAGAAAGAGAGGGGGATCGATTCTTCGTCTATTCATATCTATCTATCTATCTATCTATCTATCTATCTATCTATCTATCTATCTATCTAATTTGGTTGCCACATCGACAACGACAAAGAAACAGAGGGTGAATGAAGAAAGAGGAAGAGAGAATTTTAAAATTGTCAAAAAATCTTAAAGTTAAAAAATTAAAGATTTTTTTTATATGAATAAAATGTTCAGTTTTCTGTTTTAAACGTTTGATAAATATGTAAAGTGTAAAATTTCTATGATATAAATTTATCAAAATTATGTGTATATACATTTCAAAATTAAATATCTTTTTAAAAAGTCCCATCTTTTAAAAATTGTAAATTGTTTCTTGATTTGACTTTGTCAAAAACCCCATTTAGTTTGGTTGTTCTGTAATATTTTTCAAGGACCAATTTGAAAGTAACACATTGTATCATTACGTGCTTTATAGCATGTCTTTCCAGAGGTAACGTACTCATTGGGATTCCTTATTTTTTAGTATATATGAATCAGTAATAGAGGTGTATCCAATGCGAAGCCTGGTGAGTGTGAGCCATCTCTTCTTTGCTTACTTTCCTGTCACCGTGACTCCAACTACGTACTGGAGACACCAAAATCAGGCAAGTACCAAAATTTAAATATCTAGGACGAGTTTGAAGAGAGGTCAGAAAATGCGGCACCGAGATCTGAAGACATATTGGGATATCGAAAGACGCCTTCCAAAAGCTAAGCAAAATATTAAGAAACAGGAAAATGTCGTTAGAAACAAAAAGAGTATTGAACTTTTATTCAACTTCGTTCCGCCTCTATAACAGAGTGGATTCTGAACAACTCCGCACAGATGAAGAAAAGACTTGAGGCAACAGAAATGTTGTTCTATAGAAAAATGCTGAGGATGACATGGACTGAACGTGTGAGTAAATTTTAACGAAAATTGAAGCAAAACGACACTTACGCCTCGAAAGAAACAGTTGAAATCTCTAGGATACATAATGAGAAAAGAAGGCTTAGAGAATTTGAAACTCACAGGGAAGAGAGACAGAAGGAAAAAGCGAGTAACCTACCCAAAATACTTGTTCAGAAAGATGGCAGAACAGGGATTAGGAAAGACAGAAAAAAGACAAACCTTACTCAGAGCTCCCAAGGGCAGGAAGGCCATGATTGTGCACGCCCTGAAGGAACACGGTACCTGTCTATATTTCTGAGACAGGCCGCCCCCTTAAGGTAAGGCTTCAAGAACACCAGAAAGTTGTAACACGAGGGGAAGTGGAAAGATCAGGCGTGGCTGACCACATATGGAGAGAAAAGGGAGATCATCGCCCTCTTTGGGATCAAGTTGAGATCATAGACAAAGAACACCATTGGAAAATTAGTAAACTTTATGGATCAGCACATATGCTAGGCCACAAAAATCTCCTGAACCGACCAAGCATAGAAATAAATACAATATGGGAACCAGTAATAAGGAGTGTCAGAGAAAAGCGATAATAAAAACAAAAATTGCAATATGAGCACTTGTAAAAAAATGAGTGTGAAGACATTAGGTTTATAATACACAGAAATTCATACACAGGTGTCCTCAAGGACAAATGGCACAGTGGATGAAGGCGTTAGTTAGATCCAGTGACAGGACCCAAAGAGTGTGAGTTCAATAGCCGGCTAAGGTAGTGGCGAACTTTCAGAGGGAAATTAACAGGAGATAACTAATAACTGACATCCATTAAACATGGAACGTGTTTATCGAACAGCACTGTACATGTATATGTACTATATACACATACATATATATAGTTGTGTATTTAGGCTGTAGTCGCTATTTTATACATGTTTCGTTGAACAAGACTGTCAAGATACTTTTATTTAGTTTTTTTTTATTATTCATATTCTTTTGTATGTGTGTTATAAAAGAGTTAGAAACACTTGTACCTATACAAAAAACAAAACGTAAGCTGATAATGAATGGAAGTATGGATTAATGAATGGTATCTTTATTCCAATTATTTTCTACTGAACTCTTAGCCATTTTCAAGTATTTTGTTATATTTCTTTAAAAAAGTGTCACTTCAGTGCTATCGTAGTCTACATAAAAGCTGCTGAAATGGAGGCGTATTCTTAATTTCCAAATACGACCAGTACATTGTGGTTGTGTTCATATTTGCTGTTATTAACGGTTGGTTTATTGTTTTTTTTTTATAATAAGAGCTTCTATCACTTTTAAACGCTTCTTTTTTTTGCATGAAGTTAGGTGGCTGTATCACATTCATGGTCACTATGAGCATATTCCTTATCGGGGTTGGTTGAAATTCCGTGTTGATTTGAATATGTTCGTCTGGAGCCTACAGAGAGATGTAGCGTCAGTCGTCGTGACAGGCAGCTGATGGTGTGCCCAACATAAGTATTTATGGGTTTGTTTTCAATGGAAACGCATTTGTCTACGGGGACCACACACACACACACACACACACACACACACACATACAAATATACATATATATATATATGTTTTGGGTGATATTTTAACTTACGAATTCTTTTCAAGCTTATCTTAGCCTTTTTAACAATCAATATTTAGTACTCGTACCATTTCTACTAACATTACTACTGCTATGTGCTTCATTTTGTTTTCGAAATGAAAATATTCGCTTCTTGATTGATTTTCTGGGAAGGAAGAGATATTGTTTCCGTTTTAAAAGGTGAAACAATGTTTTTTTTATTTCCAAAAGCGAAGCGGTCTAGACTTGAGGGTAAGGAAGATCACTTTACGCGCGAACAACAACGAACTTTCTGGACAGTAAATAAAGCGTATATAGTAAGTATGTAGATAAAGTATAAGTAAGTGGATAAAATATGAAGCAAATAAGTCTATGAAGGTGATGAGGGCCAGTTGGCTTCACAAGAAAATATAACTCATATGATTGACGGAAAGATTAAGAAAAAACGATCATATAGTGAGCAGACAGAAACTATGAAGTGAGTGAGTGAGAAAGAGAGAGAGAGAGAGATAGAAGTAGAGAGAAAGAAAAATGAGAGGAAAGGAGGAGGAAAGAGAAAGAAAAGAAATAAGAAAGAAAAGAAATAAAACAGAGGGAGAAAGAGGTGAAACAGTAAGAAGAAAACTAAGTGAGAAGGAAAGACAGCGAATGAGAGTGTGGGGAGAAGGGAGAATAGATAGATAGGAAGAGAGAGAGATATATAGAGAGAGCAATGAGAGAAGAATGTGAGATGCAGTAGAAAACAGGAAGAAAGGGAGTGACAGAGTGGGAGAAGGTGGGAGGGTGTCAGAAAGAGAGAGAGACAGAAAAATGAGCGAGAGATAAAGAATAAATGGGAAGAAAAAGTAGAGGATGGAGGGAGGCCATTGAAATGCAGTAAGCCAGAGAAAGAGATAGATAGATAGATAGATAGATAGATAGAGAGATAGAGAGAGAGAGAGAGGAGAGAGAGGGAGAGAGAGAAATGAAAGAATAATAAGAAATAGAAAATTAAACGGAGGAAGACAGCTGAAAAAGACAGACAGGAAAAAGGAAAAGAGCCAAAGAAAGTGGGGAAATAAAGGAAAGAAAAAAGAAATAAAGGAATGAAATAGAGAGAAAAAAGGAGTAAGAGTAGAAAGAAAGGAAAAAAGATAAAGAACGAGTATGAGACGGTGGGGGAGTGAGAAGAAAGAAAGACAAATAGTAAGAAAAGGAGAAAGCGAAAGAGTAATATGTGAAAGAAAACTGAGCGATACAGAAGGAACCAGAAAGAAAAGAAATAGTGAGAGAGAGATAGAGGAGAGAAGGTTGGGGGAGGGAAGAAAAAAAACGAAAGGAAGAAAAATACAGAGAATAAGAGATGAAAAAAAAATGAGAAATACAGATGAAAACAAGAAGCGGTATAGATAAAGAAAGGGTAGGAAGGTGAGAGAAGAGAGAAAGAAAGAAAAGAAGAGAGAAAGAGAGAGTAAATAAACGAAAGCGAAATATCGAAGAAAAAAGGAAAGAAAAAAGATGAAGAAACACAGTAAAAAGGAAAGCGAGATCATAAAAAATGAATGAGGAATACAGAAGAAAAAAGGAAGATGAAAAGAGAAGGATGAAAAGAGAAAATAAAACGGAAGAGAGAAAGAGAGAGAAAGAAAGAAAGAAAGAAAGAGAGAGAGAAAGAAAGAAAGAGAGAGAGAAAGAAAGAAAGAAATGAATGAGAAATACAGAAGTAAAAAGGAAGATGAAAAGAGAAGGATGAAAAGAGAAAGAAAACGGAGGAGAGAGAGAAAGAAAGAAAGAAATGAATGAGAAATACAGAAGTAAAAAAAAAAGAAAGAAAGATGAAGAACGAAAGAAAACGGGAGATAGAGATAGAGTAAGAAATGAATGAGAAATACAGAAGAAAAAAGGAAAGAAAGAAAAATGAAGCGAGAAAGAAAAATGGGAGAGAGAGTAAAAAATGAATAAAAAATACAAAAAGAAAGAAAAGTAAAGAAAGAAGAGAAATAAGAAAAGAGACAAGCAAAAGAAGATAAAGAAAAGAGAACGAAGCTTCTCATCCTCATTGCAGAAGGTTACGGCTTTGAATTCAAAGTTGTTATTCTCCTAGACTGGTTGCTAACCACGGCTAGGGAGCCCAGTCTATTCTGCTATTTAGCGGTGGAGAGAAGGGATAGATTATCCCAAGTATATTTGCGCGTAAGTGAATGCAAAGAACTCGACTGGAATACGAACTCGGATCTCCGATTTCCCATTTCGAAAAGAGGACAAATTGAAAAAAAAGGGAGGAAGAAGCATATTGAAGGAAAGAAAAAAGAATAAACAGAGAAACATTAACTGAAGAAAGAAAGCAACTAGATAAAATGAATGAAAGAAGAAATAAATAAAAAATAGAAAGAGAGGAAAAAGAGATTTTTAAGTACAATTTAGTTTAGTTCAGTCACCTATGAACAATAATTTAGTCTGGATTTAGTCTGGATCGAAGAATATTTTCTTAATTTATATATTCCAGCTTATTTTCTGCAACAATAAAACTCTCATGATCTTGTCTTTTAACGACAGTACAGAACATATGTAGTTTCTCAACATTATAGACGTACACGATTACATGAACAAAAGAAATCATATATTATTTACACTATTCGGACTATTGTCAGCATCTTTGTTGTTTTTATAAAACTACCAATCCCAATATAAATAGAGTAAATAATGATAGCTCCTCACCCCCCACACATATATATATAGGACGAAACGAGACGGCTAAGAATAGTTTTTTTTACTTGTCTTTCTTTATTCATATATATATATATATATATATATATATATATATATATATAACTGAATCAGTTGGTTAAGTTGTCAGATCCTCATACGTCAAAACCGACGGGAGAGTTCATTATATATATATATATATATATATATATATATATATATATATATATATATATATATAAAAATATATATATATATATAATAAAAAGGCTTAAATACTAATATTTATTCCACTGGAATCGTACGATTCCAATGGAATAAATTATGACCATGGAATATTAGTGTTTAAGTCTTTTTTATTATATCCTTACTCTGTCCTGGACATTGAGTTCTACCTGGATTCTATCCTCTTGGAATTTTTTATTAAAAATATACATGTATGTGTATGCACCTATGCATATATATTTATATATTTTGCATATGTATGTGTATATTTACCACTAATATTACACACACACACACACACACACACACATACATACATATATATATATATATATATATATATATATATATGAATAAAAATATTTTATTACTTTTAAATATTATTTTTTTATTCATATATATGCTGAAACTTTGTAAGGATGGAAAACCAGCAAGTCGCACTCTCAATACCATTTAGAAGTGTTGGCGTCTATAAATATATATATATATAAAATCTAAGAACCCTTTCTTGTGTAAACAGAAGGATTTTGTACTTGGACTTCATGCAGCTTTAATGTAATAATTCCCCATTAAGGAAGGTGTCGTAGTTTTTCATTTCTTATATTTTCCCAAATATTTTCAATCTTATCCATATTTTTCACGCGGGAGCCACAAAAACTTGGCGAACGAGGATTCGAAACTCACGCGGAAAAGAAAAACTTTTCGTACGCCTAACCAACAACAACTTGGCCACAAAGATTCAAACCCAAGCGGAAAAGAAAAAGCACCAACAATAGAAAAAATCCTTCCCTCATCGTCCAACAACAAATTAGCGACACACAATTTCGTGGAGTAAAAATACAGAGAATTGAGCTATCATGGAGGATTTTAAAATATGTTGGTAGAACTAATAAAGCACCAAAATGAGCAACAGTTACAGCTACAAGAAATATGGCAAAAGAAATTATTACAAACACAAAAGGAAAATCAAGATAGACAAACAGATCTCCAGGAACTAATATTGAAAGTAGCAGGCAACAAGCAGTTAGATATTGAAAAAGAAGCAACATTTTCGCAAGACGCAGTGTGGAATACCATAGAGATTTTTAAATATTCTCTAGATGAGGACAAAAATTTTGGAGATTACTTCAGAAGACATGAAGACATCTTTAACATAGACTGTCAAAATGGGACAGAAGCTAAAAAGCTACGTCTATTGCTTAGAAAATTGGGAACTGAAGAATATACAAAGTTCGTGGATTATACATGGCCAAAAAAGACGAACGAATTAAAATTTGACAAAGCAGTGAGATATCTTTAAGAAATCTTCAGCTCCAAAACATCACTCTTCCATAGGAGATGGAAATGCCTTAACCTGGTAAAGGGCAATAATGAGGATTATTCCACGTTTGCCGCAATAGTAAATAAACATTGTGACGACTTCAAACTAGCGGAATTAACCCCGGATATTTTTAAATGTCTCATCTTTGTTCAAGGGCTAGTTTCTACAAAAGACAGCGAAATGCGTACAAAATGAACCGGGTCTAACATTACAGCAATTATCAGAAGATTGCCAGAGATGTTTAAGCATTAAGAAAGACGCAAAGGACATTGAAGAATCGGCTGTTTCTCATATACGTAAGTTAAACAAAAATCTACGTTCTTCACCCTCCCCGGAAAGAAAACTAAAATTTTACGACAATGAAAAAAAGATTCTCACCCTCCCCGGAAAGAAAAATAAAATATTATGATAAGAGAAAACTACAACATACAGGACAAATTATGACAAATATCGAAACAAATATAAGCCCCCTCCAGCAGCATGTTATCGATGTGGAGGATTACATTGGAACAAGGATTACCGCTTCAGATATAAAAACTGTCATGAATGTGGAAAAAAAGGCCACAAGGCATCCCAATGTAGAAATAGAAATTATACTAGTAGAATAAGAGCTACAAGGATGAATAATGATAAAAACAACAATGTAAGAAAATATATAGAACTGGAAATTTTAAACAAAAAGATTAAATTACAATTGGATTCGGGTTCCGACCTCACGATAATCAACTTACAGACATGGAAAAAACTCAATAGACCTACGATGTTACACACTCAAAAAATTGCCAAATCGGTTACAGGAAAACGAATAAAATTTGAGGGAAAAATAATAATGAATGTTAAATTTCACGACAAAACAAAAAAACTGAAGATATACGTCATGAAAGATACTGAAAACTTAGTAGGTATCGACTGGATGCAGAAATTCAACGTTTGGGGCCTACCTATTAACTCGTTTTTCAAAAAGTTAGAGGTTGAACAATCCGATACTATAAAATTGAAGGAGGAATTATACAAGCAATTTCCTGGGGTATTTTCAAGCGGGTTAGGACGATGTAACAAATTTAAGGCCAAAATAGAATTGAAAGAAAACGTCCAACCAATTTTTAGAAAAAAGCGAAATGTCCCGTTTGCTACGATAGAAAAAATAGATAAAGAATTGGAGAGACTTGAACAAACCGAGATTCTTTCTAAAACAGAGTTTAGTGGGTGGGCTGCGCCGGTGGTTTACGTTAAAAAGAAGTCGGGAGAAATTCGCGTATGCGCAGATTTTTCGACAGGACTCAACAAGGCAATAAAGGACCACCATTACCCACTACTGAGCCCAGAGGAGATATTTACAAAGCTCAACGGCGGTAAGATATTTTCAAAAATAGATCTTAGTGAGGCTTATCTACAAATGCCATTACAAGAAGAGAGTACGAAAATCTTTTGCATTAATACGCACAAAGGGTTGTACAAGTTCAACAGACTACCATTCGGAAATCTAATGTATACTATAAAAGGTGAAAAGTACACACACAGAAGACATATCGACCAGCTATAGAAAAGACGAATTGAGGAACCAAGCTCGATATCCGCAGATGACAACGCTATGGATAAAATCTTTGAAGCGTTTGAGATACAAAGACCGCAGGAAAATACAGTAATGAGAAGTTCAAATAGGAAAAGAAAATTCGTGGAACCACTAATCATCAATCACAGGAGACAAAAATATTAACTCCCCCCCAAAAAGGGATCTAAGAAATGGGGTGTTATGGGGTCCACCTTTTTCGGATATAATGGACTCGTCCTGCTGCCATAAAATAGCCACAGTCAGGCTGAGAAGAGGAGTCGTACATGAGTCGTACCGGAGTCGTCTGTGAGTGTTGGTAGTCGGATAGAGTGAAGTAACCTCTTGTAGAAGTCAGTTACAAGCACGTAGACTCTAAGAAAGTCCTACTTCGAGACTGTATATATCTATCTGTATTTGCTACTAATCGTGTTCCTGGATTTTACTAACAGCATTACCTTTTGTATTTTGTGTAAATACATTTAATTTCTTAGCTTAAATACTTGCGTTTGTCATTTATTGGATCCCTATTTTTCACGCGGGATCCACAACAATAATGATATTGTGTTTATGTTTACATGGAGGATCCAAGCAACGACAAACTCGTTCATATAAGACGCTGGAAACGAAAATCGCACCGCAGCTCATGACGTCACACATGACCACGCGAGAGTGAAAACGAGAAGTATTAAGTATGGGAAGACGTTGCTATAAACCAATGGCTTCTGTTATCAATTATAAGCACTTAAGAATATTTGTGGAGATTCCATATGGGTATATATATATATCACACTTCAAAAGTTTGAAGCCATTCCCAGAATTAGCATGGGAAGAACTTGACAGAAGAGTGAAAAAAAAAAAAAAGTAAAGGTACTCTTAGAGTCATTGAGAAAAGAATGGAATCAGTTGCTTATACTTTGAGAAAATTTTGCAATTAATGCCAGAAATTTGTGGTGCCTTAATGAAAGCTGAAGGAGGATATTTTGACATGAGCAAAATTTAATCATAAAATGCTTTTTTTTCTTTTTCTGTCATAAAATTCCAAATAAAAATCATTCCTCACTTTTTTTAACCAAATATAATAATATTCTCTTATTTAAGGTACAAAACAACTACTTTTGGCCTAATTTATATATATATATATATATATATATATATATATATATATATATATATATATATATATATATTAATGAAATGGACGAGGTCCGACAATTTATATATTAAAGACATTTTTATTTATGTTTAACGTT